CATTGAGTCAGTTCTGTTCTATTAGCAAAGGTTTTAAGATATCGACCACTATGATGTTGCCCCCCAAATACAATCTGGTGAAAAATGTTAAGTGCTGGAAAATGGTTTGTAATGATTTTTCGTTACCCGACTCTATAATGCGGCTAAAATCACAATAAACTGTGCCCACTAACCTAAGTCATTGGTCATGTACTCCAAGACATCGAAGGACCAGCCATGGTGATGAGCATATCCCTGGTACATGTCAAACACCTTCAGAGGAGAAAAGACGAGTCGCCATGTTAACATACAGGTTTGTTGCAAATGACTCATTCACATAGGTACGACATTTTGAAATGCAATATTTTTCTCTATATAAATAAATATGTAAAGATTTTCATATTCAGTTATTTTTTCAAAAGGCCCACTATCTAATAAAAAGAAATACTTCCAGACCTCATTGGTAAACAGCATTGCCTCCTGACCCCCGACACCGGCTGTGACCTCCAGCACGAGGTCGCTCAGATCTGCCTCCTCCTCAGGGATCAACAGATTCAGGATCTGATTGATGAAGCAGGTTAATATGAAAGAAAGTTAAAACAACATCAATGAAACATCTAAAGTGAAACAAGTACAGGACGATAAATCAGCAATGGAAAGCAATTGACTTTTTATTGTAACGTTACTTTATGCTGCAAACTAAATACCTCTTGTCTAATATCTTGTATTTCTTGCAAACATCCTTCACTCTCCAGCTCTGCCAGTTCTCGCAGGGCTGGGTCTTCATCTATGAGGAGAAACCAAATGAATTCAATGATACAGTGATATATAGTATTTGTGCCATGTGATGATTTATTGATATCAACAGTTAAAAAGGTCAAAAAGTAAGAACTGAATTGAGATTGATAGTTAATGATTTGTATTTTGAGAATTGCATTGTAGATATCATCAATTAGATTAGATTCCTTTATTGTCACTACACAGAGTACAGCAAAATCCCAAGCATTCCCGATGGTGCAATCACACATAACAGACAGCATAAGTATCATTTTGACAATACAAGCTAAAACGTTTAATATATAATATATAAAGTGACTATAAATTGGAACTATGATACATTGAACAGTACACTTACAAGACAATACAACATTACCATACAAATACAAATACAAGAACAATACGGCCAAGGCAGTAGGAAATGTAAACCCGTCAATAAGTAAGTTATTGTATGTGTAGGTATCAGTGCAGTTAGAAATAAATATGTGTTCTATAAAAACGGTATGAGGTAGAATATAAGGTGGTAATTGTAACTGTTCACAATGACATTATGAGTAAGTTGTAATATTGAGTGGTATTTAAAGGGCTTGCTATAACGCCTCACCTTTCAGCAGCGCTTCGGTCTCAGCCATCTCTCTCTGCTTGGCGTCCAGCTCTCTGATGCTCTGGATGAGAGGAGCCAGCAGGGACACTTTGGTCCTCTTGGACATCAGCGTGTCCTCACTGGACTGCTCCTCTGGCACACCGCTGTTGGCTGCTCTCAAACATTCATTGTACTCCGCCTCCATCTTCTTCAGGTGTTCCTGCAGGGATGTCTTAGAAAAAAGCTCATCCACTGACAGTATCTTGGCCACCATCAAAGGTGTGCCGGTGTGAAGAGTTCTTGTAGTTCTGCCACAGTGATGGTCGGTGTGTCGAGGAAATCTGACAGTTTGGCTGATGGCTTTTGGGGATTTGTGTAAACAAGGTATCCACAAGCTGTAGACACAATCATTTCCTCTTGGAAGAAGGTGTATGGCTCTTCTGAAAGCCATTGCGTGAAAAGATAATTTGATTTGTTGTGAAGATTCACTGAGGGGTCAGATCAAGATATGACTTAGCTTTTGCAAATGATCCCCTCTTGTCCGGGAGCAAACATTAGCCAAATTCCACTAGAAAAATGCGGTATTTTTTTTTTTTTTCATTTGTAAAAAAAGCAATACATGTTCTTACAATTGCTATGTTAAGATATATTCTGTTGCCAATCAAGTCATTCTAGAATTCGGCATCATTTTTGTAATGATAAGCAGTGTTTTAAATTGATACAATTGTATATTCATTAATAAGTTTATGTCGCCAACAATGTCTGGCAATTTGTCATGGTTTCCAGCGAATTAAGACCAATACAGCTAAAACAGGAAATATCTTTTTGAATTTATAAAAAGCTGCTATGGCTATTAACCTACAAAACAAAATGATAGCATTGAGAAGGCAATCAACTCAATGAGGGTTTCTTTTGAGCTAATAAATCATCTTAAAATCCAATTACAAACCTTAAAATGTCTCCATTAGATATATCCTGTTATCGGAACAGAAGTGTGACTATAAATAACAAAAATGTGGTCATAAATTGTCTAAAGGCAGTCTAGCAACTGATTGTTAATAGTTGTTATGAAAATATGTTTCCTTTTACCACCTTGCTGAAGGGCGCAGACATATTGAATGTAGTACGCATGCGCAAAGAGGGCAAGCTCTTCTTCTACGGAAAGTGACTGCAGACTTAAAATCCCTACAGACCCCCCTGCAGGGGTTCGGTTTGCAAGTTCGTTTTCACAACATGTGAGTGTGCTTTTGCCTTGAGAACAAGCGTTTTCAAGACTTAAAATAATTTTGATACAGGTGTTGCTAGCAAATAGTAGGAATTCTTATTTTCATTACTTATTTTTGTTGGTTTTTAGTAAAACAGTTTTTTTCATTTTAAATATCTTTATACCTTCTTTTCCTAGTTAGTTTTTATGATTGTATTATGTATTATTTTACTTATTTCATATCATTGTATTATATTTTATTATTTGTATTATTATTTAATTATTATAATTATAAAGTTATGTTGTACACGTCATTATAGATTTTTGAATAATTATTTTATTGTTTTTGTATTCAGTTCATTTTTTATTGTATTTTTGTATCATATTCTTTTTAATATATTTATATTATCTGATGTTGTGTCATTATTATTTTTGCATGTATTTATCAAAAATGTTCTTTCTTTTTTAATTCTAAGTTTTTGTATTATTATTGTTAATATAATTATTTATTTAAATATAATTCATATAAATTATTACTTAATTATTCATTTTGTATGTATCAATATCACTTTTTTATTTAATTGATTTATTCATTGTATTTTTACTTGTCTTTATTGCCATTTAAATTTGTTAGGAATTTATTTTAAAAATGTGTTATTATTATTATTATTATTATTATTTTGTTATAATTAATAAATATATACATGTAAGTTAAAATACATGTAGAAATACATTAAAGATATATAATTATGAAAGTTCTGTTTTATTCTCAATTTATATATTTTTTTTTATTTACATATTTATAGATTTTTTGTTATGTTCATTTAATCCTGTATTTATTCCTGTATTTATGCATTTATAATAATAATAATAATAATAATACGTTTTATTTATAAAGGAGCCTTTCTAAGCTTTCGGGTCGCCGTACAAGGTACACAAAACAAAAAAAACACAATATAATCAATAAAAACAGAGGATGTTATACATTTGTGTATCATGTCATGCTCTGTCCTCTATACCTGTGTGCTCGTTTTGTGCATAAAGGTACAAATTCCCTCCAAATCACATCACAGCAACACCTATAGTTGGGTCTTCGATGTTCCAGAAACATATCGGTGGTCCAGAGGTCTATTCATTGGTTTTCCCCTCAGGTGCTCAAGGTACAACACCCATGGGAGGGACTTCTTTTGTCTTTTGCTATGCTGATGTTAAATCTGGAGAAATTGTCCCCACCACTTTTTCTAACAAAGTGACGCCCATGTTTTGTAACCTTAGTGAATTCTCATACTGCACAACGCATGGGGTCAGTTGCCAACTTTGATTGTGCTGTCTCCTAAAATTGTAACGACTGTGAGGACTTGCAAATTGGATTGATGCTAGGATCATCATTTCATTAGCATTATGCACATCAGTATGCAAAGATTATCAGTGTCAGGTCAGAAGGGTAAGCTTACGTATATCTCTCTCTCTGTCTGTGTGGTACTGGCACTGCAGAAGGTATTTTCTTTTCAGTTGTACTTGTTTGTCCAACTTCCAACTTAACTTTGTTGTTGTCTAAATATGTTGGTTATGACTGGGAGAGGATTTAGCACCCTTGTTGTATTTGCCTATAATGCATCTGAAATAGTAAAGTAACCGACCACATCCTGCAACCCCCCTCCCCTGCCTGGTTTCAATGAAAGAGCCACATCACACATTCCAGGTGGGGGTGTGAACTGGACTGTCCTGTGAATGCAGTCTGTCTGTTCTTCCTCTCAAACAGTGGGATTCCTGACAACAATTAGAAGTAGACAGCTAAACAAATATCTGAAATATCATTTTCATCACTTCCAGCAGACCCTTTTAAAATATAGCATTAATTTCACATAATAATTGTAATCAGAATCATACGCAAGATACCTTCCCCCTATACATGTTCTATATATATTTGTAAAAAGTCAACTGTCCATCAGATAGTTTTTAAGGAACATCAAACTTGTTGAACATAACTTTAAAATGCTTAACTTTAGTGAAACTGTTTCAGGAATACTATTTAAAGATGTTTCAATTGTATTTTACGTGAAAACCAACAGGTCGATGTACCATGCACTCCCTTGGCATTAGTTATTTAGATATATGAATTCGTTTTTTTTTTAAGGTTTACCGTCAACAACCTCTCCAATATTAATGCATATATTATGTAACACCTTGTAACACTCAATTCGGCTTACTACTTTTTGTATACTTCAGTACTGTATATGACACTTTTTGTACAGTGAATTTTCAGTGTTTCACATAGGATGGGAAATACAATTGAAAACACGTCGACTGACTGCGCGCTGACATCACTTCCTCTAAATGTTAGAACCTCAAATCCCATTGGTTGATATGGTTTAAAGGGACAGTCTCCCGCTCGATGTTATTGGTTGCCGCATTTTGCGCACGGATTTCAAATAGAAGCAGGAACTGGCGGATGTTGAGTTGAGGAACATTTCATTTGGAATTGGCAAACACAGGAGTCAGACGAAAGATAGCTCAGCGGTAAAAAGGAGGGAAGCAAGGGTCAGCTTTGGATAACGATATTTACAAGCCTACGGTAAGAGCCTTTGCTTAATATCCTATGGACTATGAATTGCTAATGTTATTATTAAGTATTAGGATGTTCTGTCAGCTTTGTTAATAGCATTGGCACTTTAATTTCGCTCGATTAAGATTAATAAGTGTTGGTTAAACGTTGAGAAATACATATTATCTGAACAATCTCAGCCGAAAATATACTGCATTTCAGAGTATAATAAGAACCTTAGTTTGAGTTCTGAATGCAAAAGTATATACAAGTAATGAAAGCTAGCTACTTGGTTCGAAGCTACTTCCCATGCGTCCAACTGTACGCGCGTAAATGCATGTTTTATAGTGATAACTTCGCGATGTATGAAGCACTTATCCCGTAATGTTCAACATATCATACAATATACACGTAATGTAACTACCTACTTATTTAGCTTATGCATTTAAAGACTGCTATAGGGACCTGGGTACGTTCACGTCACCGATACGTTTCCGCCAAATCTAGCTACATCGCGCCAAAATCAATTATTTGAAAAGTGATATAAACAAAACTATCCCAACCGTGTTAAACGTTAATAATACAAGTTTAACTGCAATATAGTCACTTCTTATGACTTTCTCTTATGTCAAGAAACGCATTAGTTACCTTCGATTAGCGGGGAGCTAGGTTGGCTTGCACAAGAGAAGCCATGTTGCCTGGCAGTCACATTGAATATTTGTTAACCCAATTAACTCCTGATTTGTCTTTTTTTTTATCCAGATATCTTCATGGTGCGCAGTGTGTTTTACTGTCAAAGTCATCATGAAATGCCCTCACTACGAGTATACAATGGCCAACAATATGGATAAAAGCGCTGCAGCAGACTCCAGGGTGCTTCACCTAAAAGCTTCCCCAGTGAAAGAGCCCCTCCCCCTCAAATCCCAGCGCCCACCTGCTGGAGTGACCAAAGAGTTGTTCTCTCACAACAACAACAACACCAAAGCAGTCCACAACAAGGAAAACAGCACCAACAAAGGGCATGACTGGACTCTGGTTGAAGCGTTTGAGGACAGTGGCTATCTGTCTCTGCAAAATAGTCATGATAATGACTATTGTGATGATAATGATGATCATGGGGAGGAAGAGGATGAACACATCCTTAAAAAAACAGCAACACCCCTGCCACCTTCAAATGCGGTAAAGCATAAAAAAAAGACAACTCCTAATAATTCTCCCACTAAATGTAAAGGAAGGACTGACTTTAACCGGCAAGTGTCTCTGGAGGTAGCTTCTACTCCTGTGGATTGCCATAAAAGGAGAACAGTGGCACACTCGCTGTCATCTACCCCGTCCGAGCATCACAATAACCCCAACCTGCCCATACTGAAGTTCCAGAAGACAGTGTGTGAAGAGCTTGCCAAGAACTATCGTAAGAATAAGAGGTAAGATAATTACGCATATCTGATAACAAAGACTTTACCTGCTCCGATTTGCACACAATAGGTAACACACTGACCTACCCATTCTTAATTAGAGTGCATTTAGATATGGAATAGTATAAAAGGTTCTGCTTTTGGGATATCTTCCCAATATCAAAATGATAAAAGGGAGTTAGGAATTTTGTATCCATCATTGTCGCATATCTAGTGAAACATTTTAAAGGTTAGGACCATAAACGACTACCATTCCCTACCAGAATCAAAGCTGGCAGACATGCCTGAGATACATTTTGGTGTCTCATTTTACAGGGCCACTCTGCTAAACCTAAACTATTTTCAAATTTGATTCCTTGTTTCAGTTAGACTTTAATGAAAATGTACAATCGTCTTCCTGTGTCTCAGGTATGACTTTAGCATCATCAACAAGGTTGCAGAGCGTCAACTTTTGGATCGGGTGATCGGAGGCCATATGGGCCAGGAGTACATCGACGTGTTTTCGTATCTTCTGACCAGGAACATGAGAAGCATCCTGACCAACATCCTGGCCCTGCTGGGAGACATGGACCTCATCAGGTAAATTACAAATGCTTTACTATGTGGCAAGTTGTGTCGACACAAAACCCATCTAGATGCTGAAGTAAAGAAAGTTTACTTTTGTTATCAGCTGAAGTCACAGTTTATAGTTTAAGACGAAAGCGTTGGAACTATTGTTGAATAAGTTAAGGAAAATGCCCACCAGGGACAACACGTGAACGTTGAGATGTTAAAACATACTGGTCAGAAATAGTTAGAAATTGTACTTTTTACATTTTTTATTATTATAGTTACCATTTTTCTCTTGTGTAAAGTCCTCATACATTTACCTTTTCCCCCTCAGCTGTAAGAAAGTGAGCAGGACATGGAGGCGGTTCATCTGTGAGGATACAGCCGTTCTGAGCAGGTGTCAAAGAGCTGAGGAGGCACTCAGGGTGAGGAAATCACACAAGTCTACACCAGTGGACCAAGCACTGAGTTGTGCAAGAACCTTGCATTGTTGTGCCTCTGGCCATCAATGAGATTGTTGCTGAACAACTTGCTCCATATGCTGTTCATGTTCTAATGTGTTCTTTTTCTCGTTTCTCAGGAGTCGAGGAACTCCACGAGGCAACAGGGCTGTGGTCTAACGAGAGATTCGGGTCTGTCCAGGGTGGTGTTCTCCTGCATGCAGACCCTGGCCTCACCAAGTACCCAATCTTCTTCCTCCTCATCGAGCTGCGGGGTCAACAGGCGTCCTGCTCACTCTCAGAAAGGCATCATGCCCCATCAGGCCTACACACGCTTCAATGAATACATGCAGGTAAGAATTTGTTTATAAATCAGAATAACTCGCAAGAACCCATCAAACCCAGCATTTCTGAATATAAATGTGTACTGCTAGTATAAAAGCATATTAGGAGGGACACGCAACAGCCTCTTCTTAAACAGAGATTTCAGTACACGCCAGGAAGAAAATAAAGCCTGTGCAATGGATTTTCCTTTATTACTCTGAACCAAACAATGGCAGTATAATGTAATGTTGCCCCAGAGTAGGATTTGAGATAGCAAAAGAAGGCGTAACATTCAACACAACTGTGTTAGTGTGTAGTGTGCACAGTCTGTCCCAGCTGCTGTGGTGTGACTTTCAATCAGGTTCACGCTTTGGAAAATACATGTCATTATTTGGATTCTAGTTGTGTTCCATATTCCCATTGAATACGGCTAAACTTCGCTCATTGTTGTGACGCGTATACATAATAAATGTTTTAAGGATATTTTTAATATTGTAAATCAAAACAATAAACAAACAGAATCAAAGGGTCAACAAAATATATCAGATCTAAGCTCACCCCCATTGTCATGCTACCAAACCTGGTGCCCTAAATACCATTAACCACACCCATGTGACAATCACCGGAAACAACCAACAGGATTCCCGCGGGGTCTTAAAAAGTCTTACATTTGATAATCAGAATTGCAGGCCTTAAAAAGGTCTTAAATATGATCAAAAAAATAAGAAAGGTCTTAAATATGATTTAGAAGGTCTTAAAAATGATGGGATTTGAAAGGTACTTCTGTGTTGCGATCGCGTCTAAATGTGTTTTGGGGGAAATATCCGGGCTGCAAAGTAACCAGTACGTACGTAAGACCCTTTCAGTTCCCCCCAACAATTTGTATTGAAATAAATCAACATGGAACCAGTAATCACTCACTTTATTTCCTCCGGCCCCTTATCAGGGAACACCCAGCTAGTAACCGAGCTTCAGCTAGCGGCAGTCAGAAACTAGGTATCTTCGAATCTACTTACAAATATGGGGAAGTGTAAGTTCAACCGTATTTGGTTGGAGAACATCAAATTTAGTGCTTGGTTGAAACCAGTGGAGGGGAATGTGTTTGAAGCCCGCTGCACCTTTTTGCAAACAAAATTAGCGTTTGTTTTGCTAATGCAGCGTTAGCTAGTGCAGCTACTCCCGCAACAACACCGGGGGACCTCCGGGCGACGTTTGAGTCTACGTCAACCCTAAAAGCGGAGGGGCTGTGGACGCTAAATACCGTAGCTAAACACCAATCATACAGCATGAAGACAGCAGAGCTCTGACTATAGCTCTTGTCACTCACACACACACACACACACTTTTTGTCCAACACAATTCTGTGTACTGTTATGTTCAGTCATCGTTCTTATGTTGAACATGAATACGTTTACTTTCTAAGTAATTATGGGACGTATTTCTTCTTTCCTAGCAATTTTCATTCATGCTTTCTTACTGTGAAATAGGGCTTAAATTCTATTCAAAGTGGTCTTAAAAGTCTTACATTTGAGTTGGTGAAACCTGCAGGAACCCTGAACCAATTACAAGCGTGTGTGGTGTTAACAAATAATGAAGATAATATGACTATAAGCACAGGCTACCACAGCATTTTGGCTCCTACTCGTTAACTAGTGTTAACATGAATTTGTCTTGTTGTTCTGTCCAGGCGGCCAGCAGTCTGAAGACGCACGAGTCTCTGCGTCCCTGCAAGCTCTGCGGCGCTCCAGCGACGCACCTGTCCGAGGTTCGGAGGGCCACGTGCACCAGCCTCAACTGCCAGTTCGATTTCTGCACCTACTGCCAGGAGAAGTTCCACGGCTCGAACCCCTGCAAAGTGGTGAAGTCCCGATCCATCTTTTCCACCACGAAGACGAACCCGATCCTTCTAGGTAGCGCTCGCAGCAAGAGGGGCATCCGGCGCCTGTGATGGAGCGCTACGGGGGTTTTATTCTCTGAATATTTTAATGTCCTCTGTCTACGCTGGCTCCCTCCAAAGCTCGGACAGCGAGGAATGTTTTGATGTCCTCGGTCTACGCTGGCTCCCTCCAAAGCTCGGACAGCGAGGAATGTTTTGATGTCCTCGGTCTACGCTGGCTCCCTCCAAAGCTCGGACAGCGAGGAATATTTTAACACAAGCTGAACTTCTAATTGTGTCACTGTGGCATTAAAACTTTGTGACATGCAGAACTCCGGCTCTACGCAACTGAATTGACGTACTGAAGCACTTGATAGCGCACTGCTGGGACAATCAACCAGAGAGTGTCACCTGGCGAAAGCTGTGGTCGTCTGTGAGCGACATACACATCTGATGCCAAAAAGAAGAAAGAAATGCAGATTGGTATACTTAAAGTTGTGCAATTTTTATATTTTGTTTTTAAAATGAAATGTATGTTCATATATTGTCTATTTTAAATTGTTTTGTATTTGTTTTTAAATAAATCAAGTGTTTAAACGTTCATATTTACTAAATGTAAATAAATGTTACATAAAACTGATCTTGTTTTCTTTGTTATTCCTCAATGACACTTATCCTAGAGCTGAAGTTTGTCCAGTGTAGTTGTGGAAAAAATAATCAGCCACTTGAGTTAGTACATGAATATATGCTTTAAATGTAACCTTAGATAACCAGTGGCATTTGTGACTTCTTAACGCTACAGTTATAACTAATTTACATTTTAGAAGTTTCACAGAATTGTTGGCAATTTCAAACAGTTGAGGGGAAAAAACAACTGTCGCTCTATTTCTAACATGAGTGTATTATCTTTTTTTTTATCAGTTTAAGAACTTTAAAAATGACTAAGAGTAAAATGTGTATTAAGATTGGAGGACTGGTCATTTTTTACATGGATTATTTTGTTAAGTGAATGAATGTTGGGGGTTTTTACGGATTCTTAACTTGGATTACGTTTCAGATTTTACTGAAGAAAAATGTAAATAGTCATGTTTAGATGTCTACAGCAGAGGGCAGCATAGTTTACACTTCTCAGGGTAAAGGATTCTTCACCGCACTCTGACGATGGCACACAGTTTGACAAACAGATACATAGACAAATACCACGAGTTGGTATTATTCGCTGCCTTGAAAAACTCTACAAAATATGACTAGTGTATAACCAGGGTGTCCGAGGGGTCTTAAAAAGTATTACAAGTTGATAAATCAATTTAGCGAAAAGGAAGGCTATTAAAAAGTTTTAAACGGCATTTCTCATGGTATTACATTTTGTAGATTGTTTTCAATAAGTATATGACTTGTCCAAGGAGGTTGTATTCTAAAGTGTGACTGAATGTAATCATTGCGTAGGTGTGTAGTGTGATTCTGTGTAGTTTATTTATGACATCCCGTTGGATGTGACGTCATCTAAACAGGACATCGCACGCTCGCTCCTTGATAAAGTGTGTCGCCAATGTAACCGGTTAAAACTCGAAGT